TAATATCTATATATAACTATTTAATTAAAAGATTATATTTTATAACATATATTTAAAGCGTTAAATTTTATATATGAACTAATTTCATATATTTAATTAATCTCAAAATTAACACATATAATTTACATAAATAAAATACTAAATTTAATTGTCAATATTAAGAAATATTTATTAAATTATAATATTTCTAAGATTAAAAATTTAATTTTTTTTATAATAATTAAACTGATATGTATTGTTTATACATATAAATTAATTTTTCACGTAAATAAATATGTTTTTTTTAGCCGTTGCTCTTGCATTTTAGAAACTTCCCAATTTGGCATTAGAAAAAACAAAAATACTCTTAAATGAACCAATCAAGGATGCTTGAAAATTCATTATTCTTACACATCACTAAGTTCTCAAAAGAAGAGAGAGAGAAAAAAAAAAAAAAAAAAGTCTAAAGAAGGGTGGGTCTGAGCCTAACCATGGACCTGGCCGAACAAGTAAAGTTAAATATTAGGCCTGTTAAGTAAAGATGATTGACACAAGCACACACACACACGTAGGAGGGCCCAAACATGCAGTGTCAGACAGAAGGTCTGATAGGGTTTCCAACGTAGCTATATAAGCAAAGGACATGCCCATTCCCTCTCCAATACATTTCCTAGCGTTTAGGCCGCCGATATCTAATTCACCGAGGCCCTTTAATTCCAAATAAATAGAACGATGACAACCTCCTTAAACAAGAGATGCCAAATGAAATAAATATGCAAGCTTACTACTCTAACGCAATGCATGAGAGAGAACATGTTGATTTCAAATAAGTAAATAATCCAAACATTAAATTTAAAACAGGAGCAAGTTTACATATATGTCTGATCCTACCCTCACAACCCTCCGATTTGCCTGCTTTGATCTCCATCATCGGATCACACAAGCCAAAATTGACCTCCGACAATGGCTTTTTTCTGCAGGTAAAGGAAAGTACAGAGCGAGGGATCAAACAAGAGCTTTGAGTCTTCTTGTCGTCGCCTTCCCGACGGCCAAACGTGGGACCATCTCACTGAAACGGAGAGGACGACGACGAGAGGGGGCAGGAGAGGCCAGATCTGGTCTTTGAGGAAGTTCAGGGGCGAGCCCTAACCCCGCTTTTTAATTTTTGGCCCTTACTTAATCGAAACGACGCCGTTTTGAATTGATTTGCCCTTAGCCCATAATTTTCTCTCTCTTTCACTTTATTCCTCAGACTTAGCCCTGATTACAATGGAGTCCCTGCAAAATGAAACTTGTGTTTTAAATGTTTTTGATCAAGTACAATATGTGATTAATTCCATTTGATCTCGATTTTCCTTCAACAAATTTTTTAAATTAATTTCCCATGTCACGTTGAAACTCAAAAATTTTGAACTTTTCACTTGAAATTTGACAATTTATGAGAAATTAATATTTTTAAAAAAAATCGAGGTTTTTTTGCAAAAATATCCATAAAGGCAAAGAACAAAAACTGAGTTATGACAATCTCTCAACTTCATAAACAATTGCACCATTCCATATCTTCTTAGAATTTAAAATTTGAACCCAGTAAATTAATTATAAAAATACCCCATACATGTTAATTTGTTAAAAACTCAAATCCTTCTAAACATTAAGCCCAATCAAATGACTTATTGCTTAAATCCATGCTACAAGTGCAGTGGGTTAGTCACTGGCCTCATATGAAATTCACCTCATAAATTGTGTTCGAACTCCACCAACCTCTTTCCCATTTCTCCTCCCCTTTCCTTAGTGCAACAAATTACCTATGTTAAAAAAAAAAATAAAAAACTATTGCCGGCCCATTAAAATGGGCATAAATTCTAGCTGTTTGAATTCGACCATATCATGTTTGCCGTTCGCTAGGTGGAAATATCTTCCACCCTGTCCACCATATACGTGGGTGGTGGTTTCCTCATCATACTCATGCCTCCTTCCACTTGGAACGTGGGTGATTTCTTCAACTCTTTCCACTTTCAACTGTACGTGGGCTTGCCTATATAAATGTCTTGCATTTCATTCAGTTTCTTCTCCAAAATCCCTAAAACTTCTCCTTCTTCCCTCTCTGTTGATGATTAGTAGGAATCGATATATAGTTTTTTTCCCATCTTCTATGTGTTTGTGATGAACTCCTTCCTATGTTCCCTTTTTGTCGCAGCCTCTCCCAAATTCAACAACAAAAGCCACCAAGAAACTATGATTGGTGTTATTGCTCAAGTGAGTCCAACGTGCCTTTCTTTTCTCTAGTTTTCAATGTCTTGGTGTTAATTTTCTGTTGGATAATATGTAGAAGCCACTGCTTGGTGCAACATGAGAAAGCGTCTTTGGGGGGATCGTAGTTTTTGAGCCCTGCGGACGAATTGGAAATGGTTTAATTTTTGGTATCTAAATCTAATAATCCAACTACCCCAAAAACTCCACCAAAGTAATTTAAATCCACTCCAAGGAGGGACAAATTTCTATTAGTTCCATGCTTAGAATTTGCAAATAAAATCCTAGTATTTATTAATTTATTTAATTATTATTTACAAACCTTACAACTCTTAATTATTAGGACTACATTCCATCAAAAAATTTACTAGGACTGCATATCCATGTATATTCTTCAACTTTATTTTTGCAAAATGTTTCTACTTCCCAACTAAAAAAATTCAATCATTTTATGACATAAGGATGATATCCCAACCTCCATTCTTTTAATCTATTCATCTTCCATTCTATATATATAGAGTAATTAAAAATTTTTTAAAAAATAAAGATTTTTTTTTTGTTCTCTTTTATACTTTCCATGGGTACGTATTATGAAAAGACGTAAGAAACTAAGTCAGAAAGGGACCGTACAGAAAAGGAGCAAACTGTTGGTAAAATATGTGAATTCTTGTCC